AAATCCACTGACGGAAGTTGCAATATTAATCAAATCCGTTAGTATCATCAGTCCTTTGCACCATGTAACATTTCCTTCTGTGCCAGTTATAAACTAACTTTAAATCAAGATTTGTATCCTAAATTAGTTGCATCCTAAAGACTATCCCTGACTATTCCTAGCTTGGAAAAAGAAGAATGTGGTATGAACTTCTATACCTTAACTACATACACACTTACAGTTTCAGACACCTGTTGAGCAGTCAGTGTGCCAGATACTTGACCTTATTTTCGAGTTTTATCACCTGGCCTAATCTCTCTCCTGAATAAGAGCTGTTCCAGCATCATTTCCAGAAGCAAAATCAAGACAAGACTTACGACACAATCACAGAATGGTTAAGATTGACTAAGGATCATCTATTCCAACCCCTCTGGTCCAGCAGGGACACCTAGAGCACGGGGCACAGGGTGGCATCCAGGTGGGTTTGGAAGATCTCCAGACAAGGAGACTCCACAACCTCTCTGGGCAGCCTGTTCCAGGGCTCTGTCACCCCCACAGTCAAGAATTTCTTCCTCACATGGAGATGGAACTTCCTGTGTTTCAACTTGTACCCATGACCCTGTCACTGGCCACCACTGAGAAGAGTTTGGCCCCATCCTCCTTACATTCACCCCTCAGGTACTTGAACATGTTGATCAATCCCCTCTCAATCTTCTCTAGGCTAAAGGGGCCCAGTCTCCCTTAGTCATACGATAGATGGTCTGTAAGCTAAGAACATCTAACAGGAAAAATTATTTGCAATACATTCACAATACATGCAATACATGTAGACCTCTACAGGTGGAGTTGATTTAGCAACTATTGATGTATACTGAGTATTTAAAATAAGATTTTAAGAACCAAATTTCTGTAACAGGTACAAAAGAACTGTGTTGCACAAATTAATTTATTTAATTAAAAAAAAAGGAATAAATTGGAAACACTTTTTCTGTATCTTAAATAATGGAAATGCAGATATAAGCAGTTACTTCTGCAGGACCTCCTTGTTGAAACAACTGATATAAATGCATTTGTAATTCAGGCTGTGTGCCTTAGGTCTTGCTGCTGTTATTTATGTAGTACATAAAGCACAGTGCTGCAGAACATACAAATTACATAGTGTAGTCCAATATACAAATATATTGTTTCTTCCATGCCACTAAAGACTGGGTATAAATCTCTATATCTGCTTTGCAAGTTTTGCAAAGAAGATGGATTTGAGAAGACAGATTTTTTAAAAAAATATGTATTTATGAATTTAGGTTACTTTTCATTTTACTGTTAAAAGTTATGACATAGTTCCCTCTATCTGACGAAGTGCAAAGAGGCTCCAAAGGACATCCTGGTGGCATTTAAAGGAAAACAGGTATTTGTTCATGAAGCTCCCTTTCTTTATTGCACAGGAGTGAATTAAGAGTGAAGAGCTGCACGCTTCCAAAGACTATACTAGCTGCATGCAGTGTTTTCCAACATTATATGGAGAGGTGAAGGTTCTACATCTTTCTATGCATTTTGTGTATTCAGGATGTGAGAAACATCATGTAACATATCAGAATTACATAATGGGCAATGGGCCCAAGATATAGGCAGAAGACAGATCAAGAAGTCTTTATATCCCAAAATATATTTCCCATGGTATGAATTTCAGTCTAATCGTAAAAAAAAAATCACCCTAATTTTCTTATCACTGAAGGTTAAACTTGCAACTACATTAAAGGTCGCTAAGGTCTCTGACTTACTGCAGCTAACTGGAATAAAGTAAAATACACATCCTAATCTTACTTCAACTAAAGTCATTTTTATTAAAGCGGACAAAAGTTAGCCAAAACAAGATCTGGCCTTCATTGCTCAAAGTGCTGATGTACAAGCAAATAGTACAGAAGACACCTTGCCTTGAGAAGGTTAAAATCTAAACAGCCAGCATCGATGTATGCTTTAAAGGACAAATATATATATATTATATATAATAATATATAATTATATATAACAAATATAATATATATATATACAGATGGGAAATTGAGGTGCAGGGAGAATAAAAACATGTCCAAGGTCAAATAAGAAATCTCCTCAGATACAATCTTTCTCTTTAACACATCTCAGTATAACTCTAGTCACTTATAAAGAAAAGCAGTATTCATCTATACAGTATGTTTCATCATACATTTTTTTTTTAACAAGAAGATTGTTTTAACAATACAAAGCTTCTCTGAACACAGTCTCACTAGCCCATTGAAAACATATTTGGGGCAAGTAAAGTATTTGGGACAAGAGAGTAAAACACATCTACATCTATTCTTTGAAATACTTTATTTCAATCTAGGGACTTTCTAACAGCTTCCTTAAAGGACAACATTTCTTTCTCTTTCTGTTCAGCTTTCAACATTCTGTCACTTGTTTTTCTTTTGGATGATATGAAGGGCATTGTAAAAAGTATGCCTGTATGAACCAAACAAAACAGAATCTGTCATAAAGCTGCTTGAACTATTTTGGAAAGGATACAAAATTAAATATTCCAGCCACAGAAATTGCAAGGGAAGTTTTGTCATTGATCTGATATCAAACAGTGTAGAATGTTTGTGTGTGGTGAGCGTGTCTCCCTTAATTACGGTGAGTGAAAGCAGGAAGAGCTCTAGTGATGCCTAGGGCTGTAGCAGGAGATCTCAGCGAAGAGAGGAGGAGCATCAGGCCCCTTCCCTGCACACACTTCTGGGGATAACTTGACAGGAGGCACATTCCAGGACTCATACCATATACATACACACATCCAGTTGCATTTGTACCATGTTGTGAGCAGTGTAAGCACCAGGACCACAGGGCAGAGCATCTGTTCAGTCTTCCAGGCTTACTACTGACCTCAGCATTTGTGTCTTTTGATGATTAAGGAATGCCAAGTGACAATTTTAGAGGCATTTACTGGGTCAGGAGAGGTGAACCATGTCAGCATTATCTAAAGCAAAGAGAGCAGGAGGTTGTTTTCAGGCACCTTTAAGAAAACATTTCCTTCCAGGTTTACAGGTGGACTTAAAAAAGCTAGACCTCTGGCTAAGGTCAAAAGGGGCAGAGCAGAAGTGGCTATTTGCGGACCACACAAAGAGCAAGGATAAACATTGGCCCCTATCAGGAAAAGGCCCGACTCTTGGACTCCAGAACTCACAGAATCCTAGGTACCAAATCCTCTTTACCACCCATATAATCAAATCGAGAGCAGGATTTGGTTCAATAGTTTCTCTAACTGCCATCACAGTTGATTTCATTTTTGTCTTCTGTCTAAGCAATGACCAGTGCTCTAGGTATGTGCCCCAGTGATTACTTCCTTCTCACATAAGAGATTTTCTTTCTAATCTTTATTCAAGCAGAAAAATAATTGTACATGTGAAAATTAATTAGGCAGACTCCATTAATTATTTACCTGTTGTGACAGGAGCCAGCAATTAAAATGAGGAAGCTGATTTGAGTATTCTTACTCTTATATTCCTGTTCCATATAAGGGACAAAGAATTTAAATTCTCTCACTGAGCCAAACATGCAAGGTGACAAGTCCCATCTCTTCCCATGAATTCCAGGAGTCGTTAAAAGTCTCTCAGACCCTCTTTGCTGTGCTTAGCATCAGCTGTTTTACACCCTAGGCAGCCTGTACGGGTGCAGTGACTCTGTTGGCACTCTTGGATGGCAAATGACACTGTTTTGCTGCTGATACTTGGCAGCAGTGTCCACACAGACAGGGTAACTCCGCTGCTGTGCAGCTCATCAGCTTGACCTCAAGACTGAGCCCAGACACACAGAACACTCAAATTCATTATCAGCCAGTAACATGGCCACATTGGTTCTTGCTATCAGATGGCATAACTGCAGGCAATTAATATATGAGGCTACTTAATGTCTAAGCACTTAATTAAAAAGTTATTGTCAACCAATACATCCCTGGAAGGAGAGCTATATAACTCAATTCTGCTACACCACAAATGACTATCACACTTAAGTCTGTAATTAGTCCTTTGAAATAATTTTCTTTAGTAGCAGTAGTAATAGCTTTTCCTCTTTAAAAATACCTTGCAAAAAAATGTAGGTAGTTGCCTAGGTTGTTAAAGTTCAATCTGTAAAGTTCATGCTAAAAAAAAAATGCTTTGTTTCACAGAGGTGAAATGGTTAAGCCAGCCCCAGCTGAAAATTGAGTTTTCAGTAGCAGGTTTTTCACCTTTTTTTTTTTTTCTTCATTTCATGATGGCTTGAATCAGCAGCACAAGTCAGACTGAAAAGCAGTAAAACTTACCAACAGCTCAGGAAAGACAGCAAGCTGGATAAATCATATGAATGAGACAAATGACCAGCTATCTAATTCCGACACCAAAAATTTAAAGTAGAAGTACTTTTTTCATTAGCTCTGCTTTCAAACACTGGCACTTTCATATCTCAGTTCAGCTCTCTGCACAGAACAGATGGCTCCTCATGAAAAACCAGAGCAGGTGTTCATATCACAGGAAGACTTGATTCCCTAGGTAATTTCCAGGAGTTTCTTGGGAACCGTTAGCGTGATCTAAGACTGCAGAACTTCAGTAATGGATAATGTCATCTTGAAATATAACATTTCTAGAAGTTCACTGCAGCAAATATGCTTCAACATGAGTAGAAGGTTCCAAAGTGTTTCATGTCTCATGTTCATCTGGGCCCTGTATTCACCAGGCCAATGGTCTGAGATAATTTCAAGACTAAAGCCTGCATAACCACAAATACATTTGGATTCAATGACTGAAATTTTGTTTCACTGACACAAAACTGCATATAGTACAATACACCCTCACTGAAAAAACAGTCTGGGTTGTTTCAAATGAGCATATTATGTAATGAAAAGACAGATGCAATACCAGCACACTGTTGCCTATAAGTTTCCTTGGTTGGAACAAAAATTTCATTGTTGATAAGATGCACAGCAAACCCTCCTTTTGGCTACAGAAAAAAAGTTCCCTCAAAAATATACATACCAAGTACATTAGCTGTACACTGGAGAATTCCTGAGACATCTTCTGTTTCTTCATTGCCAGAGCAGTCTGTGTAGGAGCATCTGTTTGATATATTGTGAAAGTTCTTTTCTGCATCCCTGTAACTATAGACAAAAAGGAAGAAAATATCTCCTTATATAAATGCAAGTTAGAAAAGTGTCTTTCAGAAATAGCAGTTACTGATCACACAATCACAGAATGATCGAGGTTGGAAGGTGCCTCTAAGGATCATCTAGTCCAACCTCCTTGCTCAAGTAGCGTCACCTAGCGCACATGACACAGGATCATGTCCAGCTGTCTTTTAAATATCTCCAAGGATGGAGGCTCCACAACCTCTCTGGACAACCTGTTCCAGTGCTCTATTACCCTTATAGCTTTTGCTTATGTTGAGATAGAACCTCCTGTGTTTCTGTTTGTCTTCATTGTCTCTTTCTTAGGGATGTAGATTTGGTTTGGGTCAAAGACAAGACAGGTTCTGAAGTCTCTTCTTATCTGACCTTTAGAATTTTGTATGTAGTAGCTAAGTCAAAAAATTTAACTGATGATTAATTTTGAAAGCAAGTTCAAATTTCAACTGCCTTGATCCTGTTCGTATTCATATCAGACAGTCTATTTAGCAAAGCAGAATAAGCCCTTAGCCACCCTCATCTTCTCTCCTCTCCTTCATCACCTTCCTTCCCTTCATGCATAAACACACATTGATAACATCTCATTAGTAGCCAGGGTATCTGGAGTATCATACTGGTATCTGGAGTATTCTCTGTAATGAGATTAAAGACATAAAAAATATCTTACGGAAGTGCTTGGTATCAGACGTATCTGTTTTATATGTCATCCCCATTGGGGTATTGTCTATATTGTACATTAAATTCAAAGCAAGATGTTTATGAGGCAATGGTTAGTCTCTAATAGAAAGAATAAATCTTCCTGATATAGCTGTGTTACATTAAATTAGCACTGTATGTATAAAAGTCTAGTTTTCTCTGTGGATTACCTTCTGAAAACATCTCAGCAAAGAAAAGGTTGTCAATAACACTCAATGTGCTATCAAGGAGAAAGTTTGTTTTATAGCCCGTTACAGAGAAATTAGAAAGAATACTGCCACTGATAAAAGATACAGGGCTGTGCTCAGACCAACAAGAAAGCTCCTGCCATATAAATTATTCTATTTCAATCGGTTTTGCTGGACTGTTTTTCCTTAATTCAACAGAATCAGAATAGAAACTTAAACTTTGTTTTTAAAAAATTAAACCAAAGCAGGTGCTTATGAGGACTGAAGGGTTAAACTGGTCACCTGGTTAGTGCTTGCAAAATTCCACTGACTTTGTCTGCCAGCACCCACTGAAACCTACCAGAAAGGATTCAGAGCTGCAAGGAGACAGAGCCCTTCAAATTAGTCTGTCAACAAGTGAGAACGGTCTTGTATATAGAGTAAAATATATCAAGAAGCCTGGGCTAGTCTTAGCCAAAAAAAAAAAAAAAAAAAAACGCTGTTTCAAGTAGTAAAGGGTCTTGGGTCAAATCTGGAGAAAGATAGGAAGGGAAGGGAAACATGAGCCAAGATGTCCCTCACAGGCAGACAGAAACATTTCTATCCATGGTGCATGTTAGTCTTCTCTTTTTCAGACTTCTCCCTGCCACACTCAGAGAGTTGTAGTGTTTCTGTTGAACTGCTCCTTATGTTCACCTGGTCCCATGGAGACGATTTATGCTGTTCTGTTTTGTCAGTCATGATGGCTTCCCTTAGGCACCAGCACGTTCATAGCTTTAGGAAGACTCCAGACTTGGCAGATGCACAGATGAAGGTGCAAAGTATTTCTAGCTGTGATAAATTTTGCACAAGCATTTTCAGCATGCCAGCAAGGCCCCTTCTCCAGGCACCCCTCATGATCCCATGTCAGAGACCTACACAAGGACTGCTGCCCAGCTGTGCCATGGGCCTTGCAGCCCACCGTGCCAGGTTGCCACCACTGTTCTCACAGACATGCCTTGCACTAATGTCTCGGTGGACAAGAGCCATTTTTTCTTACACTCTTCCTTCCCTGTGCTTTTTAAAAATCCAGGAGTACATCCTACAGACTTTCTCTGTCATCTTCCTGGCATCTATCTAACCACAAGTCCAAATGCACCTCTTCTGGAAAGAATTTTGAGTTTTCTCCCAGAATCAACAGAGCCCCCAGGGGGACACATGAGCTACAAGGGAGGGAGGAAAACATCTTGCAGAGGTTGTGCATGGGAGGGATTTGAAACTAAACTGCCAAGAGCCTAAAAGGAAGGCAAACAATATTGAAAAATGCCTATCCAACTGTGTTTCTTCCTCTTCCACAAAAACAGTACTGTTAGGCCTAAACAACATAGCCTGACAATGTAGAAAATCATGAGACTACAACCATATCTGCAGGTCAACTCTCAAATCAAGACTGCGGGTAATCTGCCAAAGCACCCAGGCAGCAGCTCTGGAGAGACCGGGGTAGGTAACCCTCTCCCAGACAGAGACTTTTCAAAGGAAATGCAATGCATCCAAACTATCATTACGAGTTGTAGATACATCTCTAGCATTGTCCTGCAAAGGATATTTCTAACACACCTAAGTACCCCTTCCCTATCTTCCTGGTGGTATAATAGGATCTGGAGACAGATCAAAGTCATGCTTTCAAATTTCTGCATTTTTCATCATCCTGGGGGAAAAAATAGAACTCTTCACAGCTTGGGAATCTCCATCCTGGTCTCTAAAGAAAAATGCAGTTTAAATGCTTCTTTATTGCCTGTGTCCTATACAAATACACGCTCTTTTTCTTTCTCGTGAATCACGTTTAAATATTTGTTCCTAAACATTTACCCCAGGAAAATCAAATTCTATTTCCTATTTCACTGGGTGTTTCTGTTAGACATTTACATTTGCATTCCATGATTCCTACATCTCTGGAGACTGTCTCTCGGGTCTGTCATGAAGGGGCAAGGAAAGAACCACCCCTCACTCCCAAAATAGGCTCTAGAGGAAGTGCCAGAAAAGGAGTCCCAGCAGGGGACAGCGGAGGAGGCAGCTCTTGAATCAGTCAAGAGGAAGGAGGACCCTCATTGCTTAACCCAGTCAAACTTGTTTGTGCGGAAAGCTTGTGGAGTCTCCATCCTTGGAGACATTCAAAAGCCAGTTGGATACAGTCCTGGGCAGCAAGCTCTAGGTGACCCTGATTGAGCAGGGGGATCAGGCTGGATGATCCCTGGTGGTCCTTTCCAGCTTCAACCATTCTGAGATTCTTGAATCTCAGTGAAACTTGCTAGGGAGCTTTAGGACCTGTAGGTGCCAGCCTGATCCCAGGCCATTCGTGAGCAGGTGCTCAGACACCGGTACTCAGCGCTCCAAGCCTGGGTTACGGAGGATGGTGAAGGAAACCTCAGAGGGGCAGGCTGAAGCACCCTCAGGCAAAGGGGACAGAAGAGCTTGATTCAGCAAGGCTGAGCTTTTCCTGCCCATGGAGGCTGGGCTCCCTCCCAACACACAAGTCATTCCTGAGAAGCCAAAGTTTTCACCACCTTCACCGTACGCAGGCCACTGCCCAGCATGGCTGCTGCAAGCCCCAGGTCAGAGAGAACTGATATCTTGCTTCTGCTCACAACCTTATCCAGGTTGTCCTTATCAGCACAGGGCATTGCCGTGCACTGAAATCGGTGCAGGCTCTGGGGCTGTATACACCCTAGCACACGAAGAGGTCCTCTCTGGTGCTGAGCTTCACTGTTAGTTATGTACAGGCTCCTGAAAGACACTTGGAGGGAATGCACAGACTGTGCACCAGGCATGGGAACAACCCGTGGCCTGCGCTGCCCCAGGCCAGAGGTGCAAATCATTTGGCAGAGCATGAGCTCGCCCGAGCCGGAGCCGCTCTGGCAGCTGCTCCGGCAGTCAGGCCTCAGCTCTTGCTCTGGTTAACCCACTAGTACAGCACAGCACCAGCATGGAAACAAGACAGGCCCTTAACAGAGTGCAGGCTACAGGCTCAGGAGCAGCGTGTGATCCACAGGACACAGTGGAGCTAGAAGAGCCTTGAGCACTCGGGTAGCAAAAGTGTCTGGGGGAGAAAAGAAAAAATGCTGAACCACAACATGCCAGAAGCAAGCGAAGTAGCACAGGGGCCAACTCCCATCTGGACTGAGCTATATTTCCAAATGCTAAGTGCATCCCATTGGTAAACAACCATGGGACAGGGCAAATACAGGCAGAGAAATGACTTTAACAAACTCATCGTGACATTCAAAAAAATTAAAGCAAAGTGTATTGTAAGTCACAGTGATCACAGATTTTTGCAGTGTCTTATTTTTAAACTTTCTCTACTCACATAAGCAAATCTAAGCGCCACGTGGCCATAAATTAAAAACTGCATTGCTATTGCACACATACATTTCCCAGAGTGCTGTGTCTCATCCACTGAAACCTCCTAACAGGATACTTAAAGCAATTAATTTTTTTCCAGTAACTGAAAAAAATACTTCACCAGCAGGCTTCTCCCCCTGCTTGTTCCACAGTGGATATCATAACTACCTGCAACGAATGGCTCCCTCAGGTGCCAGCCAGACGTGCTATCACTAGAAATGTCACCTACCAAGCTCAAGCTCCATTTGAATTTTAACCAAACATTGGAAAACAGACAGGGATAATTCCCTTCAGTGCACCAAGCTCCGAAACTATGCCATAAATTCTACAAAGAGCCTTAATGCAGCTTGAAAAAAATTACTGTTACATCTCTGCAATTAGATTCAGAAGAGGACAGTATTCTTCATTTGCCATATGGCAGAGGAGCTTAATGGCTATAGACATACAGCCATTGGACTCTGACTGTTAGGAATAATAAGTTATCTGTGACAATAAAATACTTGTGCAGGTAAGGAAATGGCTGATGAGATTATTTTAATCAGTGGGAAAACACCTTAGATTTTCATAATAATATTACTTTCTGTTTACTCTTCAGTCATATATTAATTTTCTCAACCAACTGTCAGCAAGCAGCTTGCAGTCCTGGTTCAGCAAAAGCTTGCAAATATGTAACAGTGCAGGTATTTAATAAGTGCTAGTGCAAGATTTTGAAAATCTCACCTCAGGTCACCGCATCTCAGCCCAGGAGCTACCATTTATTTTGGGTTGTATTTTGTATTGCATTGTGTTGCATTGTGTAACAGTGTGTTGAGTTGAGTTTGTTTTTTAACACTGTAGCCCTGACTAAGCTGAGACAGAAGCAGAAGCAATATGTAAATAATTCGTACAGCCTTCTCAGTTGGCTCAATGAAAAGCAAATTTGGACAGATTTAGTACTTTTATAGATTCCCTGTTCTTTTTGCATAGGAAATTTCATAGTTAATGGAGAACTCCTCCTCTAAGGGAATTGCACGGAAGCAGGATTGCAGAGTAGTTTATGAGTAATATATATGATATGGTATGTGGTTACTCCCGGGCAATTCTAAGAATCTGTGAGAAAAATTAAAAAGCTTGTCAGTGACTTAGCATAGACGGAAAAGTTTCCATGCATCTTTCCCTGCCCTTGCATTAACACTTACCCAATAACTTGATGCTCAAAATACTGCAATGTCCTTTGAAGAGTCTGTTGAATGGTCTGAGGCTACGGAAGAATAATAAACAAGAATCATAAAATTAGAGTAGCATGATATAGTTTAACTAACATATATTATAACACATTGTTTTTTTTTCCCAGTTTTATTCCTCTTCATCTTCTATCTGCCAGGTGCCCATAAGAGTAATGGATATCAAATATTATGGCTTTATATTCTACTTAATAATAATTTAAATAGAAATGAATTACATAATACAACAATTAATACTGCCTATAAGATAACAACACACACAATTGTGCCAAACAAAGGAACACTTCACTGTGACCTTGCACAGAATTAGCGCCTATCAAAAATATCATATTTCACTTAAAAAAGATCCCTTTTTTCTTTTTAAAATTATTAATTAAGATTACTCTCAAGAAAAAACTTGAAATTAACTCTTGAGAGATCCTTGGGTGAGTCAAGCAAGTATGAAATCCACGCCATTCTCTACAGAATTTCCTAAGGTAGTATGACAACTTTTCGTTCTTCCAAATGAGTGGCTTGTACCACATCTGAAGTTTTTGACCTGTCCATTTTGTGCCAGTGGTCAAGCAAAGGTATCCAATGTGGGTTTATAAGACTTCCTTCTGGATTAAAGAGTTTGATCAATGTTTTTAATCAAACTCAGCAGCTCAGATTTTACAGATACTTGGTATGTCCTTATTCTTTGAAAAACAAATCTATTTTGGAAAATAATAGTTAAAATGTGCCCTGATTTGAGGTATTTTACTCTAAACCACCATCAGTTTTGAAAATTTCAAATTCTGCTGAGCACAGACTCAGCCGTTCAAAAGCTGCCCTTTCTCCTTCTCTTGTCCATGTGTTTGCTTTGACAACAGTGGAAATTAAAAAGAATATAACAACCTATATCAGGTTGTTATATAACATATAACATATATGTATATAAAAACATATAACATAACATATAAAAAAATATAAAAAACATATAACATATATCAGCCTATATTTGTACAATTATAAATACTTTTTAATTGCAAAGTATAGGAATGCGGCCCTTCTGAACTCGAACATGTAGAAATCATGCCCTTTCAAAAGCGAGCTCAGAATAGATGTAGACCTTGAAAGAGATTTTTTTAACTTAATTCTGTACCAGGTAATTACTTGTCTTCTCTGCAGGAGCTAAGTTTCCTACATTAAAACTCTATAGAAGGCTCTCTTCCAAACTGCAGTGGAAGCACCATATAAATGAAACCATCACACATGAAAGAACCATCCTCTTCTCAGTGGTACAGCAAGTGTTTAACTCCTTATAGTTGGATGGGCCACAAAATTGGCACATTCTCACAGAGACCTGGAAGCTTTCCTGTGCTCAACAGGCACAAAAAACAATTTTGCCATATAGAAAAGATACATTTTCCCACTATAGCAAACAGATGAAGCAGAAATGGCCTTAAGAGGTCCAGAAAGCTGCCATCTCCCATCTCCAAGGTATGCTTCCCTGCACTTCACTGCACAGGGCACAAGTACTCCACCAATACGTCCCTCTGACATGATGTGGAAATGGGAGCAAGTTTTGATTGTTATATTAAATCTCCCTTCTGGTTCCCATGAAGTGCTTTTACAGCAAGCTCATGGAAGGCAGGAACACTCAGTACCACTGGCAAAGAGGATGGAATGCAGCATTTCCTCTTCTAGGGAAGTTGTGCAGCTGAGTGACGCTTTGAGTGATCCCCCATCACTTGTCCTTGCCCTTCTCATACCCGATACACAGATGTTACACTCCTCTACCCAGGGAAAATCCCTTTTCAGTACCCCAAGAGATGACCATATCTGTAATGTCCAAAGACTGAACAATTTTCATCAACACACCTCACTTGAGAAGCACTGAAGCAAGAATTGTCCAAACAATAACTATTTCTTCTGCAAGCTAACCTGTCTGCCCAGCTACTGCCAGACAACTGTAACCAATCCTATGAACCCATATCCCTGCTTACTGGCATTTCCTATTCAATCCTAGATATGAAGTTCAGACAAAAATATGATGTATCTAACACTGCTCATAAACAGTATGTTGTGTAACACACTCATAGTTAATATGAAAACTGACCTGAAGAGTCAAAGTCTTTCTTCATTTCTGACATGAATGATTATGGCACGTCATTGTGAGTGGTTAAAAAGCCACTGTGCTCGCCTCCTCAGTTTGCTCTATTTCATTACTGATGAATGCGACTTTAATATAGATGTAATTTTCTAATTATGGGCCATATTGCTATGACTAAACAAAAGCGAGAGGAGATACATGACTCCAGCTGCCTACATGGGCAGCTCCATGTACCACTTCTTCCTCTACTAACCATAGAAAAAGCAGGTAGGAAAATATTTCCGTTTCTCCTCTGCATCCAACAGCAAGACTTGATGGAGACAGAATAGATAAACCTTCTCCCGGTAGCATGATGCACATCAGCTCTCCAAGGAGCACTGCTCAGGACAGGTGAGACACAGCCTATGCATCTCCTGCACCACAATGGACACCTATTCCATGCAAGTACACAGTTGCCCTATTTTTTGGCCCTATTTATTTAATTCAAGTTTGCATAAGTACAGTTGCATATCCTGGACCTCATCCCTTTGACATCTTGTGATAACAGGCTAGTACTGGAGAAGAAACTACATGGAGCCAGGAGGTCTGAGCAGGGAGAGCACCCAGGTACGCAGACAGGTTCTCCTTAATTCTAACAGAGATTCAAGGATTTTTCCTAGTAAAAAGTTAAGTGGCTCCTAGCTGAGCCCCTGAAGCTCTTCAGTCGTCGTACTCCTAAGAACTTGAGCGCTTAACATTTTAAACATAAAAGTTGAAGCACTGAAGAGCAAAATAGGCTCAGCTTGAAACCACTTTGCTTCTATCAGAACTACTTTTTTCAAGCAAGTCAGTCAGGTTATGGGGTTCCTCCATGTTTTTATGCCCTGGGGAGCTGCCAAGTTCTTCCTAGAGGAATCATAGTTCTGCATAATGGAGAGAAACTACCAGAGACCTCACCCAAATTAGCACCTCAGTGCTGAAAGTTTTACATGTTTCAAATTCGTGGCATTGAATCACTAACTAATATTGATGTTAAAGTGGCAGTAAACAAAGAATCAAGGCTCCAGTTAAAGACAAAAATATATCCATATTGCCTAGGAGTTTGGAGATAAGCATTTTGCAGTTGCTGAGACTAGAGAGAAACAGAACTGGAGAAAGACTGGAAGGATCATTTAGCACCTGGTAATTTTCTGAGGATGTGTAAAGGAGGAATTGTCCCTAGCAGGTCCCTAGATGCCTGTAGAGGAGGAATCCCTTCCTGACACCTTCTCAAAAGCTGAAGAATGGGATAAAAGGGCAGAGAGGGAAGTCAGAAGTGGAGAAGCAAAGCCCCAGTGTAAGCAGCCATTTGAAAAATGCAAAACATCATGGCTTGGTTAGTTTTTTTAATAATAAAATCAGAGAAATATTTTCTAAATTTAGGGTGCACTCTTTTTCCCCTATGCCCCTACAAGATAAGAAATGTATTTTTCTTATTGAAGACCAACTTCTTGATTCCAGAAGTTTTGGTTTTAGATAAAAATACCAACTGCTTGAAGATCTAGCACTAGGTTTGGTACCAAGATGGAAGATAGAGAACCCCTGGGATGGAAGTCTAGGAGGGATCTAGAGCAGGAAGACTGATGGACAGAGGCCAAGTGTGGTGGCCTTACAATATCATGTGATGATCCAGACTGGAATGAGTATAAATTTGAGACAACTCTGCCCGTCAGTTCATACACACTGTTCTTCTCTGGGAAATACTTGTGCACATAAAAGAAAATACCTTAATTTAATAAATAACATTAAGACTAAGAAGTTTATCCTATACTACTCCATGGCAATCACAATACAAACATTCTGAAGAAATAAAACAGAACTAAGTAATAATTAGAAATTATAATTCATGCATCCCCCAACTGCCTTTCAGCTAGAAGAATCACAGACATTACAGATGGAAATTGCCTATTAGATCATCCAGTCTAATGTCTTGACAGCAAAGAATAAAACCCACAGAATAACAACTATTAAAAATATACTGGGATCTCTTTGTGCATCCTTGAATTTCAGCCATATGTAAAATGTATAGAAAATCTATTCTGTGCTGCAGAAATACTTTCCAAAGTGAAAGCATGATAGATTACCTATATTATTGTTACCTGTTTATCTTTTAATGTAACTCACATCTTCTACACCAAATTGTCTGTAGGAGACAAGTGGGAAAGGAAAGACTTCACATGTCAGACCTTCTCATGGAAAGTCTTCTTCTGGGATAGAGCGCACCCAGTGTCCTTAGTATAACCTGAGCCACGTACCCTGCTCTTCAGGAATGCACACCCATGGCCACGTTCCCTTCCACTTTACTACTTCGCTATTACTTGCAGCTAAACAATTTGACCAAGGGGAGAAACAAAAGGCGCAGAGCAATTCAGATGGATCTTGCAGGGTGAAGAGCAGTGCTGCTGCACTGTGGCTTGGCAGCCCACAGTCGCAATCTGAGTGTGGACAGAAATCCTCAAAAAAGGGGATGTGGCCTCTGGTTTCCGACAACAGATATCTGGAATGTATGAATGTGTTTGGAGACATCTTTTTTTCCCCAGAAAGAAGAGCCAAGATTTCATTCTGATAGCACAAAAATATTAAGAAAATAATTAGGCTTAGTGTAAATTTCCAAGGTACAGTACTTTATAGCCCGCAGTGAATGCCTGAAGGACACTTCTCTTTCATTTGCAGCATGCGGTAACTATTATGATAACTGGCCTAAACACTAGATGTGAAATATTCAAGCTCACCCTAAATAAAATTTCATCAAGGTCAATGCAATGCCTTGGTCCCTCGGGTGCAGCTAAACCAAGTTGTTTATATTTTCTTTGCTGAGGCTGAAGTTCCCTTGCACAAGTTAAACTACCACACATGACAAATAGGCAAAACACATTGTGATCCTCAGCCTAATAAAATTTTCCAGAATGTTCCTGTTTAAGGAATTACAGCTGTGTTTCAGTCTAGGAAATAGCTAAATAACCGGCTACAGGCTGGCAGCGGGGCTTCATATATAGTTGAATGATACTGGACAGAAGTCTGATGTTTTAGAAAATTAATCCCATTAGCCTGTTGAAACTAGAAGTTACCAGTTCTAACTGGGGTGTTCCTTCCTGGGACTTGCCCTCCTTCACCATTTTTATGCTTTTTTTCTTTCACACCCTCTTTCCTAAGCAGGATGTTCCTAATATTAAGCTTATTCAGCCCAAGCTGTTCAGTGAATGTGCCAGTCACACTGTTGATACCCACATCATTTAATATTATCCCACTTCATTCAGAAAATTGGGCAGAAGTTATTCTTACAATAGAGCTTAGACACACTAATGGATTAATGTGACTCTTAGAAGCTCAGAATACTCATGTAAAATATTCCAAAGCCTTACATCAATGTTACCTTTCCTGATAATGGCAGCAACTACTGACAAGAGTAGCTGTTCCTTAAGAGTAACTGCTAGGGGTTTATGATGGAGCTAGGCTCAGTCTGGGCTGTTATAATTACAATTTCTCTGCCAAAATTATACCTCTGCTTACTGGAGATTCCACTTACAATTAAGCAATTTGACATTTCCACAATTCTGTGCAATAGCCTGCACACTAATTTAAAAGCCAGTCTTTAGGTTCTCTTTTCTCCCTCTGCCAGTAGAGGTTGTGTTCAAAAAGACAATTCTGCAATTCAAACTATTTGATAGCAGCCAGTAGTTGCTTTCTGACTTAAATATTTATTTAAAAAAAAAAAAGACTTCTTAATTTAATGTGTCTTTAACTGGGCCTTTAAAAGGTACAAAGAATAATTCTAAATGGACAAAAGTTTATCAGAACGGATTCTCATTTAATAATGCCTATAGGTCAAGCGATATGTTACACAGGCCATTTAGAAAAACAAAACCAAACAGAAATGTAAGCCAGTTTAGTGCTGTGTCATGCTGTACTTCCAGAAAGATCAGTATAACGCTTAGGGGAATGCTGGGTATGCAGTCTCCTCTCCCAGTTACTCACCAACCCCTTTAGGGCAGTCCATGCCCCACGGACAAGAGCAGAGTATTTTACTTTTCAGATCAGTGACAGTATTTTTTCTTCTGATTTTTATTCTATTTTCAGTCTGGTATTGGACTGAAGACAAGAAAGAACTGGAGCAAATGTGAAAATTGCTGCAAGGAACTAGAATACAGTAAGATAATAAATGAGGGTTGCTAAATATTAAGCCCATGCTCATTGGTGCCAGGATGCCATTCCCATCTAGCGGAGCCCTCAAAGGCAGAAAAATTGATGTTGCATATAGTATCATCATCTCTAGTTATAATTAATCATAGTTTATGTCACTGAGAGCGTAAAGGATGATTTTTTAAATGGAGCTTAATAGTAAAGCCAGAAGAAAAATATATCCTTACATTTGCTTGTGATAAACATATAACTGTTGTAGTTGATTTCTTAACATCTGGGACATAAATTAATGTATGTACTAGGTTCATGGCATTTTGCCCTTTGACCGGAAAACTTGAACACAGCACACTGAGAGGGGCACCTCCTAGTTTTAAACGCAGTTGGATCTGCCTCCAAATATCCCTGTTAGACCTCATAACCAAAGCCCTTTTGATGGGTGTAGAGATGGAGGAGGACAGAAGGGACGCATTCGCCCAGTCAGGACCACGACTCTTGGGTATGTAATTCCTGGCAGAGCGGACAGAGCCGCATGGGGGTTGGCAAGTGAGGAGCAATGTTAGGGAAGATCCCCTGAGACGATGGACTGGAAGCAAGCAATGCCCAAGTGCAGGTATGTAGGGAGCTTTGCTTATTTTCCTGGCTAGTGTAGACTTTTCTTCAAAATACACCGCTGTTTTGGCGGGAGGGAGCCCTATCCTCCCCCCATTCCTGTCTGTTCACAAGAGAGAGTCTGGGATAAGCAAATGTCAGGTGGTGGGTCCAGTCCCTCAGCTACCCAGACATGCCAGGAAGCCTTTGTGAAACCACAGCCGGTGAGGTAGCCCCGTGCTGACCAGGAATCGGGCCCCTACACCGCCCAGCAAGCCCATTGCAGGAAAATTTCTGAACATATATTTAAGATAAAAGAGAGAAAATCATGCGTGCTGGAAAGTCCTAGAAGCCATTCTCAGGGAAAAGGTGGAAGGGACTGGATTAAACCCTGCAGCCTACAAGGGTTTGCTTTTTAATGTTTCCCCAAGGTTCGGCAGAAAGTAGTATTTGTGCACAGTCACACTCAGCTAAGTTTCGGCCTAAAATTACAAGTATACAAAATCCAGTGACTCCTCAGCAGTATATTTTTCCCCATAAAACACCTCAGATCCTTAATCACTGCTTTCTACTCCATTGAATCTACCTCTCTGTTGACTATTACGTGGACTTTTGTTCATGTTAATGACTACATTGAACAGGTGGTTATACTGCATCCATTCTTCTGCCCTACCACTCTTCGTAGGTCCTAGCCTGCTTACATAGCCCAAACACCAAGTACCCAAATGCCCTGTGGGGTATTTGCCCCCTGACAGCCCCACCTCACTCGGCTGCTTTGTGCCCCTCTCTCGGGCTCTGTCCTGGTCCCACACATCTGCCCCCCCGGGGCCTCTGTTGTGGACAGAAATGTCACCCAGACATGTCCCTGCATGCCAGGGCAGTATTAAATATGCACACAGGTTTTATTTTCTTCAGTGGAAACTCACAGAGAATTTTTACTTGCGATCTCAATCCCAGCCATCTCTACAGGAAAGCACAAAACTAGGACTAAGCAGAAACACCAGAAACCAGAATCCTTCAAGTTTTCAAGTGTTCAGCACAGAGATGGGGACAGATTGCTGCTGCATTAATGCTGGAAATGAAAATACCAAGCCATTTCAGGCAATATACATAATATGTACTCATATACATTCATATACCCCTCTTTATATACTTGCAGAGACCCATCTCTCTGCATGAAGACACTGACTGAATCCCTTATGACTGAAGACATATTTGTAACATTGAAATTATTAAAGCTTTTTGTTCAGAAAGAATATACACAAATACATCTTTCGGGCTTGCCTTTTAATTATCAGAACAATGGGGATGACACTCGTTTGACACTAATTTTATAGGCAAAGTAATTTTTTAACTTCTAATTGAAGTTCTTCCTGATTTATGTTAGCAGATGTGAGAATATAATCAGATTCAGAGCGCTAGACATATGGTAGCTTGACTTGTTGCAAGAAGGCATTTACTCAGCATCACAGAAAAGACTTCTGGTAAGAAAAATTGTGCTAGACTAACAGTGCATCCAAGGAGTGATTTCTCTATTACAGAGAAAAATTTAAAACTGCTCTGATTCTTCTCTTACCCCACATTGTGCCAGCATGACTTTTCTGACTTTAGTTGAGTCACTTTAACTTATGCCACAGTGTGTAAGATGAGAACGAAACACTAGTTACTATGCCAAAATAAAAAGGTAAATTTGGGGCTATACACACCATGTCCTATGTATCACTCATATAAAACAATACAGCATTTTTTTGGCAATAAGGGTTTCTGTAACTATCTCTCAAGGAAGTTAATGTGTATTTTCATTTGGGACATCAAAACCAGGCTGGATGAAATTTTTGAGCTCTTGAATGAAATTTCTCTGACAGCAGAAAAGAAAGAGGGCTATAAGATCTATTAGAGTTTTTCCTAGCCTCAAATTCAAAGAACATGCTTATTTTTCAAACAAATTCAGCAATTTATCTAAGTTGCAAAACTGAGGTTATCTTTATAGCCTCTCACTGCAGGAGGTAACAGTTCAAGCTGCAACAACACAAATCCTAAGGTTATCTAAAAATACTGCACTGAGCTGCTTCAGCATACTTCAAATATTTTGGGTAACACATGCTCTAATTATACTGCTGCATTATTACCAAATTAAATTGCCATTTTTTTTTTTTGATACTAAAGCAAGGCAGATCGCTTGAGACAGCCTATTAATTTCAGCATTACAGGATCAGATTCCCAGTGGAAAGATGGGGGGGGGAGAATCAATGGGAAAGTGAAATCTTGAAACTGGCCACCTATTAGCAATGCAATGTGCTACAAACTTCTCCCTTACACAGCTTGTCTGCTACCATGTTGCCAGCTCAACAGGCGAACATGAAAAAAATTTGAAGACAAGGGCAGAGCATTGTTAGACCCATCAGTAATTTCCAAAAGTGAATTGGAAAATGTAAGAAGATGCCCTAACGTCACAGTATTCAGCCGATACAGGTGTACAATGTAGGTTAACCTACTACTTGTTGCAATGTTTGGTGCCGTAGCGTGCGAGGTGTCTCTGTAGAGCTCAGCCAAGCGCTCGCCTATAGCTGCAACTCCCAGCGGAGCAGAGTGTGGGCACCCGGCGCGGTACGGGCAGGAGGGGAGAAAGCCAAACACTTCACCCCAAGCCACCACCGTGCTCGGGCGCTGCGGGGCAGCTGCTCGGGCAGGCGGGATCCCAAAGGGCGCTGCGGGAAAAGCTGGCGCCGGCGCGTCCCTGGCGAGCGGTGAAATCTGTTGCTCGGGTAGTGCCGAGCAGCAAGTCAGAACTTTTACCTCGTTCAGCGAGGGGAAAAAGCAAAAGCAAAGAAACCAGACAAAACCAAACCGCACGGAGCGGAACGGGCAGGAGCTGCTGGCGGCGGGGGGACGCGCCCGGACGCCCGCGCGCCGCCTCCCGCGCGTGTCGCTCCTCGGGGA